TCCTCCTGTTCCTCCTACTACTCATCTTCTCTACCTCAGGCTGAGGTTTCCATGGGCCTAAATGGGGAGTAACTGGCAAGAGGAAGTCCCCTTCCTGCACCTCCCCAGGAAGCCTGGGGTGCACGGCTCCAAGGTGGCTCCCCATCCAGCTGAGGTCATGGTCCTAATTTCCACGGGACACCTCCCTCCAGAAGATGGAGAGATTTGTTTCCTGGACTCATTCATCCGCATGTTACCTTGACAGTCAAAACCCTGAAATGCCTTGAAAGCTTTAAGTCCCTTGGTTTCTTACTTTTCCCTAAAATATTCTTTATTCTACATACTTAATTTTAGGATGGGAAAGTCTTCGAAGCAAGTGATGTTACTTTCTCATTTTGCATCTTGATCATAGCATCATTTTCATGGCAGAGTTAGAAAATAGAAATCATCTCATTTCTCCCCACTGCATAGTACTTTGTAGAAAACAGAAGTAGTATTTTATGTGGTGAGTCAGTCCACTGTTCTCTAGACAATACAGGATTATGTGTGAGCATTTTTGCTCATAGAGACATGTGGAAAGCAAGCAAACATTCCCTCTGTTAATATTTCTATTTACCAGCATTGTAGGAAAAATGTGAAAATTTCTTGGTGGTCTCAGTAATTTATAGCTAAATTTTAAGAATGGCTAATCTGTGGTGACTGAGAGGAGGAGGCCGTGTTTGGAGTGGGGGGTCTAGTAGGGCTGGACAAACTCGGGTCTAGTGCCCGCTGGCTGGGCCAGTCTCCAGCCCGGGCTGGAATATACTGAGCCGCTTACTGAAAGAGAGGTGGGCTCCAGCCGCGACCATCCTCAGGAGCAGATCTGGGATGAGGGGGCCCTCAGACTCTCTCTGGAATCGTGAGCTCATGCTAGTGTCCCTGCACCTTGGCACCTGCTTCCAGCCTCAGTTGCTACTGAGGATGGAGTAGGGAAGCAGAGCTGCTCAGAGTCATGGGCGTGTGAGATGTGGGTGACGCCACTGAAAATCAGGTGGTGAGGTGGGGGGGTCCTGCAACTGGGGCCCAGGCCAGAACAGTAGTCCAGGTTGGACTCATGTAGGGCCTCATCCTGTGGACAGAGGAGTGGCCAGTGTTGCGAGAGAACCTCTGGCAAGGACTCTCTGGGGTCAGCCAGAGCAGGATTTGAGCTGGGCTCCAGGATCCAACAGCAGTGCGGTATCCTTCCATTGACAGCACTTAGCTGGGCCTCGGTGTCCTGATAGGCCTATGGGTGCTGTTCTAGGAACTGCCTGTCAGTGATCCTGGGAAGGTTCTACTATGAGCAGAGGGTCTCACTAGTGCCTGGTACTCAGCAGATACTCTGATAAACACACGTAGTGTGAACCAAATCTTACCTGTTTGGAGACCATCAACACAGTTGCTTGGGCTGCCAGGCAAACATGTCTTTGTGTGGAACTGGGAACAAAATTCTTCCCACACATTGGTCTGTGCATTGGAGCTTCTCAGAAATGTGTTCCTGCCTAGAAAGTCTGTGTCTACACTGCTTACTGTAGAATCCAGCCCAATGGGTTTCACTCTGTTGTCCAAGTCTGTTCAGTGCTGAGCTCACTTAAATGCTAGGTGAGGCTGTGGCAAGTCCCTCAGTGCCTGTCTGGGCCTCTCTGGGCCTGTCCTTATCCTGATCCTGAGGGTCAGATGAAACAATAGCATGTTTATATCACGTCCTATGTCATTTTCCATTGACTCTGTTTGAGTTCCTCTCTCTGGGAGAACAGCCAGAGAACACTCATGTTTGAAATGACACTGTGTTGAGTAAAGGGTTAACAAAACCCTTTCTCCTATTTTATGGAACTCTCTAGCTCGCTTAGCCCGGAAGCCTGAGGTAGGTGGGATGTCCGCTGTGTTCCTGAGCAGCACTGCACGTGGTAGAAGCCACCTCTGCCTATGAACTGCTTCTGACCCAGGAGGACAGAAAGGACTAAAAATACCAGGGTGGGAGGCATAGCTTTAGACTTTCCAAAGTGTGATGATTCTTGTGACTTCTGGGTCCCCAGTGGAGACCTGGAAATTTTACCTCTGGAGATGTTCTTGTTGGTTCCTATGTGGCAAGAAAATTGTACCCTGGCTCTGCTGCTTCGGGAATATGTGGTGGTTTCACTCTGAAGTATTGCTTCTAAGGTGCTGGTTCAGAAGCAGGAAGGGAAGCTTAATATTGTTGTGCAAGGAGTTTCAGTTGGATGGTCTTTCCACCCTACATGGCAAGGGGGATCTGTGTGTGTCTGTGCCTGTGTGCCTGTGTGTGTGTGTGCACACACACATTTGAATCTCTTGTCAGCCCCCAACCCACAAGTCAACTCTTCATTAATGAGTATAATGGGTACGTTCTGCTGTTCTTTTCATGGGCACTCCCCAGCTGACTCTTTGGATAGGGACCGCAGGGCAGACAGGAGCAGAGAGGCTGGATAAGGTGCTGGGCTAACAAAATTGGGGAGGGAAGCCACTCTTGGGAGGAAGGGGGATTAAAATCCACATACTGACAACACGAGAGGGAGACAGACCCTCCACGCAAATATCGTTGATCAGGAGACCTGGACTTGAGCACGCGCAGGGACAGAGGTTAAGGGACCCTCACCAAGCAGGCCACAGCCCAGGGCAGATGGGAGCTCAATGAGGATGGAAAGGACAGAGAAGAGAATCAGGTGCTGAGGGCTCCAGAATGAGAGAATTCAGTGCTGATGAGCTCAGGACTTCCTCCATCTCTCTCTGAGGAGCGACCCCAAAGATCCTGAGAGAGGAGGACCCTGTAGAGACAGGTCTGAAGAGGAATGCTCTTGTGCCTCAGCCTGGGTGGAACCAGGACATGAAAAGCAGGACCATGAGGAAGAACTAAATTCTTCAGTCTATAATTACTACAGAGGGCCAGGGATTTCATATTTCATATTTACATGGTCTGCCTTGTGAACTCGATTCTCTGAAGGATATAAGAAAAGTCATTGATTTTCAGTTTGTTTGGCTTGTTGTTGTTGTAAAGGTGGGAGTTTGACTTCCAAGCCCTTTACATATTGGAGCTGAAACTAGAAGCCAGAATGCATTATTTTTTATATTATCCAAATGCTGTAAGCATAGTAAAGAAGGAGGCAGCAGACAGAGAGGATGGTCACTGCTTTTATAATCCATCCCTGAGGTGTATTTCTGTTTGCTGTTGGGCTCTGACTGCTTTGGTCCCCAGCCAGCTTCCCCGAGGGGTATGAGGACCAATATTTCAGCACATGCGTGACCCTATATGCCCCCTCCCACTGGGAAACACTGATTTACATGTGATGGGAGTGGTGGGACCCCTGTGGGCACACATTTTCCAATGGGGCCACCTTAAAGCAGGTTTCAGTCTTATGTAGTCCCCAAATAGATCCAGATTCCTCCCAGATGAATGGGAAATGAGTAAGTGACTGAGGATTTGTATACAAAGATGTGTAAAACACAGTTCAACTAACACTTCATCAACTTTATTATTAGAACTTAGTCTTTTGCTTTCTCAGACAAATTATTATTATTATTATTATTTTTTACTTTTTGTATGATTCCCCTTCAGGGACTATCAGGATGACCTCCATGGGCCTGACCTGACAAATTTCTTTTTCATTCCCATGTGAGTGCTCCATTCAGAAAAACTGTGAACTGTGTCCCTTGAACTGTGTCCATCCACCATTTTCAAAGTTTACAACTTGTGAAGGCTTAGGTCATCCTTCTACATCTGGGAAGGAAGTTCTTTGCTATTTTCGGTCCTTGGTGCCATGTTTCTTAGCTTGTGTGGGCAATGTCTCCCTCCCTGTGCCAGGGTTCCTCTCATTCTTGCACACATCCCACCCTCAAAAACTCCCAGATGGATACCACCCCATGCTCCAGGCAAGCTGGAGGAGCGAATGGATATTTGACTCAGAAAGAACAGTGGGGTGGAAAGTCAGGAAAGAGAGACTTGCAGTCACTATCATTTCGGTGATCCTTCTAGAGAATAACTTCCTGACCTGTGAAGTGAGGGGCGTGGAGGTGATTTAGGAAGAGAATTTGCAACACCCACTTAAAATTTTTAGCAAACATTAATATACTTTGCAGTTTAAGAGAATACATGCTTCATAATTCTTTTTGCATTGTTTTGGAAAGATACCTAATCCAAATTATAATGGAACAACGTCTACTAACAGATGAGGATGGTAATTTATTTATTCAACAAATCAAATTTTCACAAGATGTCTGAACACACAAGACAACACTGGGTGATCACAATATAATTTCATATGGTGAGAGAAAAATGTTCAACCTTTCCTTTTTATCTTCTTTTCTATCTTTGTGCAAAGAAAGCACAAATAGAGGATACATTTACCTTGTCACCTACGGTCAGGTATTGGCTTTCTTTCTAGGAAAAGGGGTTTAATAAAAATCAAAACAAACATAGAGAATTCTCTTTATGAACACTCTCATTCGAAAATGAGAAGTTAGCCAAATTTCCTACCCTTCTGATGTACCTAAATGTCCTGCTGTGGATTTGATTCCACTTTTAATTAAAAGGATATTGAAGGGTAGCAGAATATGCCACCCAAAACATGCTACTTTGACATATTCATTATTTTGAACTAAAGTTACCTAAGTCAGTGCAAGAAGGACACTCTGACCCTCCTTTCCCCCCCACTTATAGCAGGAAATAGATCTCCCATTTGAAGGTCGCCTCCCTGCCCCTGGAGGGTAGAAGGCACCCTTACCATCCTTATCATCTGTATCAGAGACAGGGAATATAGGGCCAAGAAGTCTGTATAAACAGACCTTGTCACTCCTTCACTAATTTACTACCCAAGTCCAAACTTCCTAGTCTTGTCAATTCTTCATAGATATTTTGTTCTTTGTCTAAAAGGTATAAAAGCTGCGTCTTCTGGTCATTCTTTGAGTGTCCAAATTTTATGGGCTCCCATACATACAAAATTAAATTTGTTTTACTCTTGTTTATCTGTCTTATGTCAATTTAATTATTAGGACAGCCAAAGAAGCTAGAAGGAAAGAAGGGAAGGTTTTCCTCCCCCTCAGCGTTAAAGAGGTAAACATACTTTTTGCAGTCTTATGAAAGTCATTTAGTAATAAATAATTTGTGCTGAAGTGGAGAACTCACATAAAGGAATAGATTTTTGAAGCGAGACAGAATAATTTTGTAACTTGCAGAAAGAATATGGCTTTCAAAACCTTGAAATTATAGGGCAAAATGAATTTTAAAGGGCCAACCATGACATTCCCACTAGATTACTACAGCAACCACCTTCCATCTGGCAAAATCAATATGCCTTTTAGTGACCATGCATTTTCTTTTCCAATTAATCTGTATTCCCCGATCACATATATGTAAAACTGAATGATTTTCAAATGCTCAATTATATCCTTCCTTGCTTGATATATCATCATGCCAGAAAATTTAGAAATAACAATATCTTTACTTTGAGGCATAAGAAAAATAACAGCATAAAATTACTTGTGATTCTAAATAAATATTGGTACGTGTTTGTAACTCTGTAACAATTCATGGCATTTTTTTTTTAAGAACTTCTATAGAATACACACTGAATGCAGTTTCCAAATTTCAACAATTACATCTTCATGCCCTTAATCCAGATGAGGTGGATGAATGGAATGGAATAACCAGTGTCTAGCAGCAAAAGCAAGTAAGATAATATGCTTTCCAGTGCATACTTATATTCAGAGCTGCCTGGCAAGCTTACATTTAAGGAATAGGCAAGTTTGTGAAAATGTAGCCTAATTTGGATTCTTTGTATATAAGTGAATAGTCAGAAAGTTTGGTAAGAGGGGAAAGATTTTAGAACTTTACTTTGGAGCAGTACCCTGTGCTAATCAAATCATGACCGAGTTTTTCCTCTGAACCATTCATATATCTTTTACAGATAAGCAATACTGTTCCTTAGGAGAGTCGTATAAAAAGAATAAGAATGGCTCAGAGCGCAGTCACTCCGGCTGGAGATACCGTTCGGATGATACATCAGTTTGTTCTTCTACAGAATGACAGAACTCGAATCTTTGTGTGTAATAAATGAACAGTTTTTGCCTCTCAAATAAAATTTTTATTTTTACAAAAATGTTCTAAGATGGATTTGATTTTTTTTTACTTTTTTAATTAAGAAAATATTGCCATATAAGCTTGTCAGTGCTATTGATTTTTTCATAAAGCTGCCCTTGCATTGACAGGGAAACAGTAAACTAAGTTTAGTACATATTATCTGCAATATGAAAGGGATTGCAGGTCAGTCCTGGTGTAATATTTTGTTGTTATTTCCTCACATTTATGCTCCAGAACAGACCCCGAACTTCTTTGTAAAAATACTGTTGTACTTCGGTTTCCACTCTGATATATGAAAGCGTGGATGCCATTATCCCCACTGTTCCAAGAAAAGGGCTGAATGCACTGAAAATCAACAACTTTTCTTGAGCGCATTAGAGAAGTTAAATCACAGGGCAAACTGCCACTTCAGAATGTAGAGAGACAAGTGAGTGCAGAGAGACCCCGCTGACAGCAGCTTACCTGCAGCAGAGACCACAGGCTGGAAACCTTAGGAACACTTGCATATGATAATTTTGATGAATTACTGGAGGCTGAGTGTGGAGCAGTTTGAAAATAAGAAAATACTGAGTACTGTTTTAGGAAGGGCCTGCACATTCTGGGTCTTTACCTCCAGGAACCTCACCAAGTAAACAGCCAAGAAAAGCACTTGTGTGTCTTTGTCAGGGGGAGGAGAAAGGAACCATTTTGAAATATGTGCAGTTTGTTCTCTGTAACAAAGGCCTACCTCCAGGGAACAGGACTTTATCAGGGCTGCACCTGGGAGGGTCTGGGGCCCCTGGTATTTTGCCTGTACCCTCTGGCTCCTCTTCTAGGCATCCTTTCCTTTATTAAATCATTAGGTAAGTGGTCAGTGTGCTCTGTGAAGCCTGGTAAGTCCATTCAATGATTGGATCTGTTGAAATTGTTATAATAACCAGTATTTTTCTGGCCTGCCAATTGAAGGCTCAGAGACTCTCAAAATACTCAAACTGGTGAAATCTTTGCACTGGCAAACCATTCTGTTCATTTTGGGAGATAAAAATGCAAATTTTGGAGCCTTTGTTAGAACCAGAAAAGAAGCTTCAGGGCAGATCATGGGAACTTTATCTGGAATTCTGACCAGGTGGTTGTGATGATTAGCCAGGTTTTAGAACCCCTAATCTAAGCCCTGGGAGATCTTCAGTCATCCTAAAGCTCCATCACGGGCCCTACATAACAGGAATGTGTCTTGTCTGCTGGGAAGAAATAGTCCAATCCACATGGGTAAAAATTACAGTGTAAATAAACAAAAATCAAGGAAAATGTTGGGTTGAGGGCTTGATACATACTGCTTTTAAACTTTTACATTAAATTGCTTAGTAAGCTATACTATAGCTGTTTACAAATGTGGTCAACCTCCAGATATATTATCACAAGTCTTATTCAAACTAGTAGAAAGGAATTGCATTTATTATGCAATGGTCATATTGGAAACCAGGAAAAAGATTATGGCTGACAGTGATCTGTACCCATTTTTAGAGCTACCATGACTGTCCCCTGCTTGCTGATGTCAAGGGAAGCTACACCTGCCATGGTGTGAATGTCTCTGCCCTATGTGTTTACCCCATTTTAGGTCCTTAGCTAAATTAATGAGAATTTATCTAACCTTTCCTTGGTGACATGTCTGCTAGGAAAAAATAATCCAACCCACATGGGTAAAACGTATGATGTAAATGAATTAAATCCACAGGAAATCATAGGTGAAACCATCAATATATCCTTAAAATTCAAAGAAAAAAAACTTGCACTGAAATCCAAACTACTGTGTTAAAGTGCTTTCTTTTACCGTGTTTATACATTAGAGCCCACAGTCTCAACTAATTTGGTGGTGGTGGGGGGCTTCAGTGGCAAAGAGAAAATCTCTCTTTAAAAGTTAACATTCCTCTGGAGGGTCTGATGCTCCCTCAACAAGAGATGTTCAGTATGACTCATAACTAATTCACTGGGTTTTGTTCTGGTCTTTTTAGGCACGGGACAACATCACAGGATTGTTCTCCTAAGTTAAAGACAAGGAAACTCTACCATATAAAAGGTAAAAAAGCATAGCTTTTGAAACCAGGAACTATAGGTTTGATATAAACTCCAGCACACACCAAATGTGTGATCTCTGGCCAACTGTTTATAGTCTGAGAATATCAGTATCTTTGTCTATAAAAATTAGGAAACAACTTTACTTCTAGGACTGTGGTTAGGATAAAATGGGATAAAGTACATGAAAATGTCTACTATAGTACCTGGATCACATTGTACCTTTGAAGATGCTGGCTTCCTTTTATTTTCTTCTACAGATACTCTCTGATTACCTTCATCAGGCCCTCTGTCATTCAATATATTTTAAATGGGAACATGAGATCACCTAAACTCAGTGCCTAGCTCTGTGTAGATGCTTAAGGAAGACAATGCTGTATAGAGTAGAATTGATCTTTGCCCAGAAAGAGCCTGTAATATAATGAGGACAAACGTGTATGTGCAAAAAATATGCCCCACAATAGGGGTGGCTGCGTGGCCCATTTAGTTAAGCGTCAGACTCTTGGTTCCCACTCAGGTCGTGATCTCAGGGTCATGAGATCGAGCCCCGGGTCGGGCTCCACACTCAGTTTGGGATTCTGTCCCCCTCTCCCTCTGCCCCTCCCACTCATATTCTCTCTGTCTCTGTCTCTCTCTTTCTCTCTTTTTCTCTCTCTCAAATAAATACATCTTAAAAAAAATATACCCCACAACTGAGTAAGAAGTGAGTATGGGCTGAGGGATATTGCAGGATTGGGTGACTACTGAGAACTACTGTGACCATAAAGCCCTCAAAAAAGGTGGACAAAGGCTGTGTTTACAAATACGGGGAACATCCAACACACATGTAAGTGGGGAAGGTTATTCTGTGCTTTGAGATTTCTCAAGCAGAGGAGCTGAGAAGAGTGAGCAAGACACATTTTGATGAGCTGATGAAGGAGACCGAGTGGGAAGGACAGTTCACAAAGCTGAGAGCCAGAGGACCTGCCAGCTAGGTGTAGGTCACTCACATGCTTCATTGGGAAGTTTGGGTTTTCTTCTAAACCACAGGAAAATATTGAAGTCCTTGGACATTTACATGACAGGTGAAATAAGTGTTTTTGGTTAGTCTTGGGCAGAACTGATTGGACTGGAGTTCTTATGTACTGAAGTATATGTTTTAGGAAGCTCCTGATAAAAACCCTGGCATTAGCTGAAAATATTTTGAATATTTTCTTAAGATAATGTTTAAATGAGGAATACATTGTTTCTTGTCAAAAGCAAAGTAGGGAGAGTCTAATCTTTGAGACATACTGGTCACCTTGGAATTCTTCAAGACTATTTTTTTCCAGCAGCCAGAGCTAAGGAGCTCAGGGTGCAGAAAATGAAGGGAGTTTGGAAGGAGAGGGAGGAGCTAGGACTTTGGATGCCCTCCTTGTTCCCCACAAACACTGGGATTTTTCTGGATATTGGAAAGCTGTGGGATGTAGAAAAGCATCTTGGCATCAAAGAGAGCTTGATTTCAATTCTGACTCTATCCTTTTCTGGCTGTGCTGTCTTCATGTAGCTACCTAACTTCTCTGAACGTCAGTTTCCTCATTGGTAAGTAGAAGTAATTACGCGTACTTCTCAGAGTTATTGTATTAAATAAGACATGCCATGGTGCGTAATAGGTAGTCAATGGATACTGTTGAGTTTCTTTGGTTTGCAAGTAATGGTAGTAAGAGGAAGGGTCAGGTGTGGACTACTCCCGTAATGATGGTTTGGGCAAATTCTCATGGTGATAGTTGGTCATTAGCTATAATTACTTTTTAAAAAATTTGTGAGATAGGAAAGTGCAGTTGTATGGGTCAAAAGAAAGCCCTGGCTATCACTTAAAACTTTTTTTTTCTTTAAATTCATTACCCAGTGAATTGTATCTGTGCTTATTAACTATTCTATGGCTCTTTCTCTAGTAGGGGAAAGGGCATTGCTTCAGCTCACAGTACATTCATATCTTTTTGAGTACAAGATGTATGGTGCATAGTAGCTATTTCTCACCACTTCCTTGGTTTTGAAAGTAAGTTCAGGCTTATCATTTTCCAGCTGAGAAGCCCAAGGTGAGAGATTAAGTGTCTTTGTCATTATCACATGGCTCAGAGATAGGGATGCTCAACCCACTGAGCTGTGAGCCAAAGGCATTTTGTCAGGACAGATAATTTTGATGTGAGTTGTATTTTATGAAATATGAACTTGAGCACCAAAATACTCAAGTCCTCACTATTAACCTCTGGTTGAAGGTTAAATAAAATTGTGATAACTAGCCAGACTCTACTGACCTCCAAATCGGAGCAAAAAAATGATCGTTTATAAACCTGAAGTGGAGATCACATTCCACTGCCTCCATAATGGGGTAGGGCTCTAAAGACATCTGGTGTTCTGGTAGCCTATTTTATGGAGTCAGATTTCATCAGAAGGTGGCTCACTCAGCCCACACAAATGAATCTAGATATCAATGATTTAATTTAATAGAATCCAAGCTGGTTTTTGACTGAGAGTGGATCGATCTGTTCCGTTATTTACAGAAATAGTACCATTTCCTGTTACTCCCATGCGGTCCTGAATTGAGCTTGGCCATGAAAAGTAGAGCAGCTTCTCTCCAGATGCGGGAAGTATTTCTGCAGCCTTGCAACGCTAGGTGGCAGAAGTGCTCCTGATAAGGTTTGCAGAGCTGTCCGGGAGGCACCTGTCGGTGATGAGCTCCCTTAATTAAATAGTCACCCCCACACACGAAGCCCACGCAGGTGTTCTGATTGAAAAAGACACGTAATATACTCTTTCAAATGTCCACAGGGAATTGGCTTTTACTGTATTAATGGCTTGGCCAGGGATGTTTTTTTGTGAGTCCTGCTTATTCATTTTAGTAATGGGGCACAGTCATCTTGGGCTTCCATTGCTCATCCATCAATGGTGAGTATTCGAAGAAACATAAAATTTGTATTTAAACCCTGACAGAACATCGTGTTTGCTACTGAAAGTCTCTGCTTCTAAGTCTTGGTGTCCAAGAAAAGTTTGACAGAAGACACAGTTTACTGCGTTTTTTACTCTCACGATCGAGGAGAGAGATTTAATTACAGAATGGATCTCAGTAATGACAGAGTAACCAGAATCTAGTTCCAAGTCGTACTCAACTCTGTACCTCAATCTCTGTGTTGCTTTAAAAAAATTGCAAGTTTTTGGACACTGCCTCGGCCGTAACGAGTCATAATCCCTGCACTATACATAATTGAATTGCTGCACACATGATTCTGAAGGGCAGACTTCTACCCTTGGTTAACGTTTGTACCCAGAATCCGGATCAGTGTGTCAACAACTGTGTACCAAGCCGGACTGCAGGAGCAGTCAAAGGATCCAGGCTGCAAATCCATCTTCTCTCAGCCTCAACAAATATGAAGGTCTCACTGGACCTTCCCTGTGTCAGACTCGGGGTTCCAAGTAACAGTCACATGGAACGTAAGTCATTAGCAGACTTTAGCTGTATAGATTGGAGTAGGTTAGTAGATTATCACAAGCAGTCAAGAAAGCACTGATGTAAAGCACTGGGCTCACTGGCGTTGAGAAAGATTTTCCATCTTTAATCCTTGAGAAATACTGGCCTGAATATGGTGTGGCACTGAAGTCACTAGTCACCCTAGTGATCAGGAAACGTGGGAACGGGGCGGAGATGTCACCAGGCAGGAACAGGGCTCTTGTTCAGGGATTGGGAGGGTCCCAAAACCAGACTTGGTCTGTTTCTCAACACTGCCTTGGGCTGGCCAGGCTCTCTGCTTAGTATGCAAGAGTCCATTATAAGGATATAGTCTTCCTGAGGGCTGAATGGAGAAGTTGATCTAATGATCTTTTTTTTTTTTTCTGAAGATTTTATTTATTTATTTGAGAAAGAGAGAGAGAGCAGGAGCGGGGTGAGGGGCAGAGGAGGAGAGAGAAAGTGTATGAAGCAGACTCTGCACGGAACTTGGAGCTAGGCACGGGGCTTGATCCCATGGCTTTGAGATCATGACCTGAGCCGAAACCAATAGTCAGTTGCTTAACCAACTGAGTTGCCCAGGCGCCCCTGAATCTAGTGCTTTTAATGGTGCATTTAATCCCAGGGCAGTCATAGAGGAAAAAGTCACATTTTCTCCTCCCAGACACTCACTTCTCTCTACAAATAAGTCGAGGTTTTATGAAGTTGCTGCTGAGACTGTCCCTAAGACACAGAGGTGGAGGGTCAGAACGTGGGAAGTTCTATCAGTCAGCCGAATGTGTGTGAACCCAATCTGCTTGATTTTACTTTCCCCTTTGAGTTGATCTATTTTAGTGTCATGTGGGTACTGTTCAAACTGCCACTTGATTTAAATAAACTGTGTCTCACAATAGTCACTTCAGTGAAAAAAAAAATCAATTGAACTTATAATTTGATAACATGAAGTACCAAGAACTCCTCTGATTCACTTACCTTTTACTTTTTAAGTATGTGTTTTGGCAAGGTAGCCCCACCAAGCCTCAGTTACTGAAAAATATCCAGGGAAGTTCCATTTGGGGAAAAACATTCATTAACTCTGGATTGGCCAACCACTGCTCTCATTTCTTTACTAGATTTTACCAGCCTCTTTCTCTCTTGGTGTCTTTAGTAACACGTCCGTTATCACAACCCCAAGGAAAGCAACACTGAATTCAAGAAATCCAATAAACAGGGGCGCCTGGGTGGCTCAGATGGTTAAGCGTCTGCCTTCGGCTCAGGTCATGATCTCAGGGTCCTGGGATTGAGCCCCACATCAAGCTCCTGGCTCAGCGGGGAGTCTGCTTCTCCCTCTCCCTCTGCCTCTCTCCCTGCTCATGCTCTCTCTCTCTCCCTCTCTGTATCTGTGTCTCAAGTGAATAAAAAAATCTTAAAAGAAATCCAATAAACATCGATGCCAGTGACATTTTGTGTTCTGTTTAATCAATATCGTAAATATATGCCTCAGAAAATAGTCTCACGTGGCCTTCCAGTATTTATGGTGATCTTGATCTGGGTCAGATAGAATAGCTAGATTTCAGAGACGTGGCGAAGCAGATCAACAGAGAAACTCTCTCACCGAGAAAGATATTTCTGTGTTTGCAGCAGCCTGAATCATTAAGCTTTGTAGATGACTGCTGGACAGAGAAAGGATTGGGGTGACCAAACCTCCCCTTCAGGGGTCCCCTGATTCTAAACTTGTGCTGAGCCGGAAAGAAACCTGCATCTCCCAAATTATATTTTCTTATTGCGGGCATTTATGGAGACCACAATTATTTCTCAGGGGAAACTGTCCTAAATATTCCATTGGAAGTTGGTCAAATATTTATAGCTTTAGCTTGAAGATGGAGTCACTGGCAAAGTGTGATCCTACTTGCCATTGGTGTGGAGTAAGCTGTCCCTCAAAGTACCCGGAAACATTGTTCTGCATTTGTGCTTCTTACTCTTAACGAGAACATTATGAAAAGCCTCATCGAATAGTATGGAAGGGACAGTGTTTTGCTTTTGGAAACCGGCTTGTAATTTTATCAAGAAGAGCTATGTTTATTGGTAGTATAGTTACTGAAAGTTTAAAATCATCAAAGTGGGGACCATTGTAAAAATGAAGCAGATGAGGGAGAGACCTGTATCTGTTTATCATTTAGTTGATGATTTCCTTGTTTATTTGTATTAAACACAAACATTTGCTTTATTCAAGGAGAATGCAAATTTCACTCTTATTTATTATTGCCATTAAGTAATTGGTTATAGGTAAAAAAAGATAGCATGAACATTTCTTGGATGCTCATGATCAGTTGGATAAGAGGGTTCTTTGCTTTAGGCCTTCAAAATAAAAATCCATTTCTTAATGAAAGGCACTTACAAAGATGAGCTGCCTGAAATACCACATGATGGATTTACAGAACCCTATGTTCTGCCTAGTGTGAATGCCTTTATCTGGTGTGTCAATAAATCAATTTGTCGAATTTGTAATTAAAATGTCAATGGAGTACATGAAATCTAACCGCAGGTTCAGCTCCTCAATCATTACCAGGTGCTCGAATCACTATTTGGCCTGACTTGAGCTATAGTAACCAGGCTATCAGACACTTTGCAACAACAAAATCACTAACACCATTTGCCTTGGAAGTAGGAAAGGTTGGGTTCTCTGCAGTGAAGAGTTCTCTCACTCCTTTTGGTCAGCACTAAATCATAGCATCCTATGTCCTTAGAACTAATTTGTGTTTCATTTTTGTAGTAAAATGAGATAATAAGTTTCATGTCCTTTTAATTACCTTATGAATTTCAGTTACTAGTTGCAAATGGATGTCTTACCATTGTCCTCCAGGTAGATTTTGTGTAGTTTGCATGTTGCCAGTCTATAAAATTAGCATTATTTTTAAATTATTTTTGGTAATTCTCAGCAGTTAAAAATCAGATATTTCTAGTAAAACCCATATTTCTGGCTTCTGTAGAATAATGCAAGGTCTGGCAACACCAGCCCTGTATTTCTACGGAGAGCACTTGCTCGGTTTGAGTAGCAGCTACCACGTTTAGACAGAAGAGAAGTTCCCTAGTCTGCCATTCTACTTCCTTTTCCAAG